GCGATAAGAACGTTTTATTTATTTAATTTCATTGAAGCTATCACACCTATTTAATAGATCAGTCCAAAGAAAAGGCGCGAAGATTTACTCGTGGCGTTTGGCGCGAAGTTATCACTAGTGGCCCGCCTTTTATAATTCTTAGACAGGTGTCCTGTTGCAGATGTATACACAAGTATATATAGAGCAGTGCTCCCAATAGCTTAATGGTTTGCGCGTTAATAGATCACGTAGTAATTACGTTACAATTCTGTGTCAAACTAAAGATTTATTCCAGGGTCTTCTCAAACGTCTTCTGTAACTGGTTTTGGTTGGTTCTCAAAGTAGAAAAAGAAAAGACTAAATGTGCAAATGAGAGATTCCTATTATCATTTGTTTTGCAAGACGGAAAAACAGATCTTAAATCATAGTTATAAGTTATAGTTTTTCAAGAAACAATATCGATGCATGTATATAGTAAGTATAAACCGTATAACCACTGTTTTTCCCATGCACACTTGTGTGATATTAAACGAATGTTAGACAAAAATAAGAAAACCATTTTAATAAGATCGTCTAATGGAGTTTATATTAACATTCTTTTCTCAAAGATCTGAATCAAGTTATTGAACATAAATGGTATCTGATTCCTTGACTGTCGTAGAGCGAGGCATGTTTTTCGGCGAAACATTTCAACCTTTTTATGAAAGTGTAACTAATCGGCATAGTTCACTTCTGAGACGGGAAATAAAAAAAATTGAATTATAGTCATTTCACTGCTTTTGTGTTACTTTTCTATAGAATGTGTACAATGTGTTAAATATATTTTCTAAACCTCGAAATGTAGGCTATGAGAACGTTCTTTTTTCTTAATTTTATTGAAGCTGTCACACCTATTTAATAGATCAGTCCAAAGAAAAGGCGCGAAGATTTAACGTGGCGTTTGGCGCGAAATTATGAATAATGGCCCGTCTTTTGTAATTCTTAGACAGGTGTACTGTAGCAAAAGTGTACACAAGTACATTTAGAGCAGTACTCCCAATAGCGTAATGGTTAGCGCGTTGGGGATAAAAGGGGAAAAAAGCGGATGGGATTTTCACGCTGGCGACCTGGATTCAATTTGTGACCAAAATTTTTAATTATTTCTCAGCTCGACTTTACGAGTTTCTTCTTGAATCGGACGGAAGACCTCTCGTTGCTCGCAACGAGTTTCGTTTCTAGTTATTAAGGTCTTCCGACTTCCTTCGGAAGACCTTATTGTTTTCCTTCGGTTTTTTATTATTAGTATTAAGGTCTTCCGACTTCCTTCGGAAGACCTTATTGTTTTCCTTCTGTTTTTTATTATTATTATTCTATTTTCATAGTACAGCCGATATCTCAGCTATGCGTGGACAGATTTCAAAGATTTTCTCAGGGAAGATGCATCATGGGAATATCTCCAGACGTGTTTTTCATTTTTTTGAAATTTACTTCCGTTCGCGATTTTGGGGGATTTTTGTATTTTTTAAAAGGCATTTTCCAGCAGTTTTCTCGAGAACGGCTAAAGATATGAAAGTGAAACTCACTGAGGTAATAGAACATAGAACTCCATTATGGGCAACGACCTTTATTTTTCGTCGTCGGCACTTCCGGTCGTAAACGGAAGTGAATTCAAAAAGTCACATTTCTCAATTTTTTTGTTTTTCAATATTTTTCTTTAGTATTTACAGGGATTATAGTGTCTATTATGAGAATTCTAAACATGTATTTAGTATCTTGATGCGTGCATCTATTGAAAAGATATGACCAAACCAAGCTTTGTCCCACTGTCGGGGGTTCGAATCCCGCTGTGGGCGTTGAAATTTTTTTTTCTTTGTTTCTGTCTTTTTTCAGTTGCAAATAACTTTTCTCTCTTTTTCAACATGTACGGAAGATTTTGCCGATTTTGAAACACTATTTTTTGAGATAATTTGAGGAATACCTGTAATAATTATGAGATATGTTAAGAGGCTGCTGTAAATGAACGCAAACGAAAAAAATACATTCTGAAATTTTATGGGATGACGCAGCAATGAATTCTAACGAAAATCGGTAGGAAGACCTGCTTGTTGCACCAGCAACAAGAACGCATCTAGTTATTATTATTATTATTATTATTATTATTATTATTCTTTTTTCATAGTACAGCCGATATCTCAGCTATGCGTGGACAGATTTCAAAGATTTTCTCAAGGAAGATGCATCATGAGAATATCTCCAGACGTGTTTTTCATTTTTTCGAAAATCACTTTCGTTGGCGATTTTTGGGGATTTTTGTATTTTTTAAAAGGCATTTTGTCCAGCAGTTTTCTCGAGAACGGCTAAAGATATGAAAGTGAAACTCACTGAGGTGATAGAACATCGAACACCGTTATGGGCAACGACCTTTATTTTTCGTCGTCGGCACTTCCGGTCGCAAACGGAAGTGAATTCAAAAAGTCCCATTTTTCAACTTTTTTGTTTTCAATATTTTTCTTTAGGATTTACAGGGTTTATAGTGTGTCTTATGAGAATTCTAAATATGTGTTCAGTATCTTGATGCGTGCATAGATTGAAACGATATGACCGAACCAAACTTTGTCCCACTGTCGGGGGTTCGAATCCCGCTGTGGGCGTTGCAAATATTTTTTTTTGTTTTTGTCTTTTTTCTTTTGCAAATTACTTTTCTCTCTTTTATTACATGTATGGAAGATTTTGCCGAATTTCAAAAGCTATATTTTGAGATATTTTGTGAAATAATTATAATAATTATGATCTGTGTTGAGAGACTACATTAAATGAGCGTAAACGAAAAAAATACATTCTGAAATCTATTTCTTGTGATGACACAGCATAGAACTCTAAAGAAAAGTGGGTCGGAAGACCTGCTTGTTGCTCTAGCAACAAGAACGCATCTAGTTATTATTATTATTCTTATTTTTTCCCCCAAAATTTTGTGCAGGCGATTTCTCGAAAACTAATCGGTGGTTTTCTATGAAACTTTCAGGAATTATGCGTCATTATATGAACTTTGTTCATCAGAAGGAAAATTCTCACCTTCGGTTCCAAGTTATGGACAGTTTTCTGATTTTAAAATGGATTTTTGTCCCCCCCTTTTTTACGAAAATGGTGTAAGATATTAACTGGAGACTTCTTAAAGATAATAGATGATGACTTTTAGATATGTGAAATCACCTTTTCGTGTGTCGTCAGTACTTCCGGTCGCTAGCGGAAGCGAATTTAAAAAGTGCGTATTTTCTAACTTTTTTGTTTTTCAATATTTTTCATTTATTTTTGGAATGTTAATAGAAACCATTCTTATAATGCTAACGATATAATTTGTTTGAACATTCATTAATCCTAACTCTAGATATTAACATTTAAAAATCTGAAGCGGGTCCAATATGGCGGCTGCCTATGTCAACTCCGACATTTCGCAATAGGGGTTTTCAGAGGCAGCCAAGCGTTTGATTGAACGAAAGTAAATAAGGATAAATGAAATGTAAAGGAATACGGGGATTATCACGACGTTGTTACGTTGCAATTCTGTCTCAAACTAAGTTTAAATCGATGGTCGTCTCAAACGTCTTCTATAATTGGTTTCGGCTGGTTCTCAAAGAAGAAAAAGAAAAGAATAAATGTGCAAATGAAATACATACCTACTATCATTTGTTTTGCGAAAAAAAAATAGATCTTAAATCATAGTTACAAATAATAGTTTGAAGAAACAATATCGATGTATATAGTAAGTATTAAACGTTATCTCTTGTTTTACTCATGCACACTTGAGTCATATTAAACTAATAGGAAAGACAAACATAGTAAAACCACTTTTTAGCAGAATTGAGTTTATATTAATATTCTTGTCTCAAAGAATAGATTTAAGTTATTGAACATAAATGGTATCTGATTCTTTGGCCGTCTTCAGGCGACAGATGTTTTTCGGCGAAACATTTCAACCTTTTTATGAAAGTTTAATAAATAATAGGGATAGTTCAGTATGGGGATAAACAGAAAATTTTTAAAAGTAAAAAAATTATAGCAGTTTTGCTGATTTAGTGTAACTAATCTATCTATGCATAGAATTTGTAAATGTGTTAAAAACAATTTCTTTACCTTGAAATTTTAGCTATAAGAAAGTTCTTTTTTTATTTCCATTGAAGCTATAACACCTATTTAATTGGACATTCCAAAGAAAAGGCGCGAAGATTTACTAGTGGCGTTTGGCGCAAAAATATTAATAGTAACTGCCTTTCATTATTTAGAAATATATGAAAGTAGATTTAGAGCTGTGGTCCCAATAGCGTAATAGTAAGCGCTTTGGATTTTCATGCTGTCGACCCAGGTTCAATCCCCTTTGTTTCCATGAAAGTTTGATCACTTTTTCAGCTCGATTTTGCGGGGTATTTTTTCAGAATCAGACGGAAGACCTCTCGTTGCTCGCAACGAGTTTCTTTTCTAGCTATTGATACTGTCTTACGTTGAATTAAAGTAATTTTGGAATCAATTTCATGTATAGTCTGCAGACTGGCATCTGCACGTGAATAATGCAAACGAAAGAGCACAAACTATACAAGATACCCACACGTCATACATAACACAGCTTATGCAATGCATATTTTGTTTACTACAAAACTCCTCGGGTGTTTTGGTTCGGTGGTGAAAACAAGAAACCCATCTGAACTATAAGCCAAGATTTCGGAGGAACCGTTTTCTTTGGCTAATCGCAGATTCACTCTTACATGACCCCAAATATGATGTTGTTAGATGTTTGAGAAGCAGTAGCGGATTCGGAACATCTAATTTTAATTAGATTGCATCCATCTGTGACATCAGTTTGGAATGTTATTGGTTTTACTATTAAGTAAAGTATTACAAAAACAGAATGCCTGTTATTTTTTCTCTGATAACATTGGACAAAGATATGCATACTTAAATATCATCATTTCATGCACTTTTTTCGGTACATATTAGATGAAAGCATGCTAACCGCTTTTCAGTACTTTCAGTACTTTGATTTATTATAGGCTTTGGCTGGGCTGTTGTTTGATCCCGTTCTGCGTTGACGGATGTAAAGACGTCGTCCACAGGTGTCCGAGTTGTCAACAGGTGGTTGGCAAATTCAACAGGATGTAGCGCATGTCTACAGAAAGTCAAAAGTGCCATAGATTATTCTAAAGGAACAGAGAGATTAATTTTATCGAAGGTCAAAAAAGTGTGCCATACATATTATACACAGTATACACATTATTTTTTTTTACCAGAGTGCAGAATCTGTGTGTTGCATACTTTCTACTTTTCTTCTTAGGATTAGCTGTGATAATTTTCATTATATTGTGATATTTTACTATTGTTCAATTACAAAAAAGTTTTATGTGTTAATATATTTTTCATGTTTTATATTTGATTTTATTTATATTTTCTTTAAAAACTGACAACATTGTTTCTGCTTGTAAGCTCTTTATTTTGATACTCTGGATTTATTTCCCTTACTTATGCAGCAATAAACCCCAAACACCGTCATAAGGGGGTTTAAAATTATATCGCAGTTGATAAAATAAGCAAGAGCATGCTCTACGTACGAGCAATTTCTAAAAGAGGTAATTATTGACAAACAAATTGATAAACAAGAAAATCAACGCTCTCATTTAAAGCATCATTCAGCATATTCTGTGGTCGATACGATGACCCTCTCAGCAAATACCATCTATCATTATGTAAAAGGTAACTGATTTTTTTCCCAATAAAAATCGTTAGGCCATTATTTTGACATTGAACTTTCTACAGATTTTTTTCCTTTACCCGATCGTGACAAGGAACGCAAAACAAGTGAGGCCAGTCCTCCAAGGCATCTGATCCCACCTCTGATGTTTTAGGGATCCTTCTTTGCTGTGGTCCGAAAACATTCTGTGTGTGTGATGTTTACATCCCACAAATTATTCGACACTTAAGAGGATACTCCTTAGACGATAAGTTTTTAAACCGAGGCGGACTACTGAGAGATAAGTTGGTGTTACAGGGATTTCAACAAACTCGTTATAAAGTCAGCAAATACTATGGTCGTCATAATGACTATGTTTGCAAATATGACCTACTATCGGGTCGTATTTTCGCCTTCGTTTATACTGAATTTGATTTCGGAATGGTCCATCTACACTGGGTTCACTGCGGGTGTGTCCGGTCGAAAGGGATGCTTATTTCTCCAAAGAACCTGAATCCACCTCTGGTATTTACATGTGTCCTTCACAGAATTATCTTGTTTAAATTTTATTGGGACTGATCACCATTCGTTATCTTCAATCTTTTTATAAATATGGATATAGTTCTCCTACGAAAATAACACAAAGAACAGTCCTATTTATAGAAATGCTTTATAAATTCATCATCGACAGTCTTTATTGCTAGACAACCACTTCTCTTTTTTACCACTGTCAACAGCCAAAAAAGACAGCTCTCAAAAGCAAAATCACATCGCAATGTTGGGGACTGCAATTAGGAAAGACTGCAAAAAGTGGATATGATTACTTTACTACCGATATACTGACATGTCTTAAGGTATTCCATCCTTATAAGACTCATTTTATCCCTTAAGTTATAAAATACGCTGGTATTAATCTTAAGTATAGGAAAGTGAAATAGGATTTAGCAAAACATTATTGTTATAATATACTAGTAAGTACAGTGATTTATAGCTGCAAAAATGTATTTATGGTTTTATATATTTGTCTTTGACCATAACGATACAGATCCCGTAGTGCAAAAAATGTGCAATTTACGGCACAAGATTTTTTGCGCACTTCTTGGGAGAATTTCTCCCCTTTCCAACTTTGGTAAATCATCTACCTTTCCCTTCATAATTCCAGACACATTCATTAATCAATTTGTATATTTTGTCCTCCTCTAAACCTTTAATAGTCTCCAATACAGGCGATAAACTAGAGCTGCTCTTGATTTGAATTGTCTGCGTGAATTGTGCACAGTAAATTCTAATTTAAGCGAGTTTATCGCTTGAAGAGACGACTAAAAAGTGCAGGGAGGTGGATAAAGTATACAGATTTATTAAAAAATGTGTCTAGGATTATGGAGGGAAAGGTAGATGATTGACCAATGTTGGAAAGAAATTCTCCCAAAAGTGCGCAAAAAAATCTTGCGCAGTATAATTGCACATTTTTTTGCTGTGTTATGGTCAAAGACAATAGATAAAACCTAACGCTACAGTTTGCAGCTAAGTGATCTAATTACATTGAGTAACTAATTGATTAAAGAAGATCTTTATAGAAAAATAGTCATTTAAACAAAAAAATTAAATATAAGCATGCCAATACATGTTATGCTGCAAAATGCCTTTAATCATTAGAAAAAGATTTTTTACGAATTATTTTTTTTTCTAGAAAGGGTTTATAACAATGTACAATTGAATTTGAATGAAATGAAGTATGGGAGGATAGCACTTTAAGGGCATGTTAAGTTCATTTATCATAATAAATTTCGCTCATATTCGTTCTTTCAAAGAAAAACATGAAAATAGAATTTATATTATATAAATACTCCATGCAGTTGAAGGTAACCTTGAAAATTTCTACCCCAGGAGAACCCTTGTCAGTCAAGTTAATAATGAATTTCTCGAGGTGAAAATTCTCCACGTTACTCTCACCTATATGCTGTAGTTTTGGTTTTTTTTTTATATTAAACTGAATGTTTTATACAAATAAATATGACACTAAACCGTGCGATCATAAATTCTGCACAGTCAATATTTTTTGGAATATCACCCGTCGTCAAGCAGTGTTGATTGTTGCTACGCTGGAGGGTGTGGTTTCATAATTCAGAGGGTAATAGTTTTTTTTTTCAAATGTTTCTCGACAAATTAGATTCAACTAATTTACATGAAGTATATTATTATAAATATACCGGGTTAACAACTCGCACATAAATCTTTTATGCATTCAACTTCATGGAATCTAAGGCTGTTAGGGGTGAATTACCTTAAATGAATTGCAACTAGACAAAGTATAATACAAAATAACTCACAGATCGGATAACTTGAAAAACAAACATCAATCAGATAAGATTTTAGAACTAAGGTTGTTCGAGAGCGCAGTCAGAATTACAAAAGAATTTGAGTTTTATACCTCGATTGTTTTTACGGACCATCTAGAAAAAAATTATTACATAAAAATAGCAAAAAGAAAAAAACCTTACCAGCTCAGCTGCCAACAGAAAAAAACAGCTGGTAAGTCTAAAAAAAATAGAAAGTCGACTTTGGAAAGTGATTTGAAAACGTATTTTTTAATAAAAAACTATAGCTAGTTGTTCTTGAATTTTAGCAATAAGTAAACGTTTGGAGACGAACAGACCAAGAATGAATAGTTTTATAGATTGCATTCAGATCGTTCTGTTTGTCGTTTTAACGTCTATTTTTTTTACTCAAATGGAGACGTCACCACTTGCCGGTGGGGGCTGCATATTTTTTTTACCTAAGCTCGGCACTTATACGTATCAAGAAAAAAAAAAGGAAATACCTTACTAGGTTTATATGAAAGGATTGAATTATTTGATTTTGACCTTGTAAAATTAAAATACGGCATAAAAAATCAAATCAACTCGTCTCATTGAAATCAAGCACATTTTCAATAACGCAAATGTCGCCCGCGTGGTGTAGTGGTAAGAGCGTCAGCTCTATAGTCCCTAAGTAAAGAGTTGATCCTCACGTCGCGCTGTGGGATGTAGAGATCTTTCTGATGGATGAATCCGTATAAATTGATGTCCAGTCTCACAGTAGGTGCTGGCACGAAAAAGATCCCTCACTGCTAAATGGCCTATAGGACAAATAATGCAGCTCTTCACCGGCAATTGGTGGCGTCTCCATATGAGTCAAAACTCTCTTAAAAAACACAAACAAACAATAACGGGAAAAAGTAGAATAAAAAAAAAAATTGTACAAGTCACTAACCCCAAATAATATTTTTATTATGTGCAGATACGCCCCCTTTTGTCATGATTATGACTTCGCCCATTAAGCATCTACAAATAACCAACAATATTACATGTATAATGGTTGAACAAAGACATTTTATCGAATATGCCACCTTTTTATTCCAAATGTGTTTTATGTCACTACGTTATTGATGACAAGAAACACAGTATCACAAATAAAAAAAAATAAATTATGGATCCTTTCCTTTATTTCGCTTGACGTTACTTTTAAAATATTCTCTATTTTAAAGGGATTAATTTAATTTGGGTTGTAATGCGTTATTTGATGGGATAAAAAAATAATCTATATTGTATAACCTGGATTACTATCCTTCAGAATTATACAGATCTGATTGGTTTAAAGCATGTCACGTGAGAATTATACAGTCAATCTGATTGGTTTAGAGCATGTCACGGTAGGAGAGGCAATTCGTGATGTCGACAACACACTTGAAACCCAGCTTGCTCGCTTGCGCTATTCATTGTCATCTGAAGGGTGACAACAGTTGTCACCCTGCGCGTGACGGAGACATCACGAATTGTTTCACCTCACATGACATGCTCTTAACCAATCAGATTGACTGTATAATTCTGAAGGATAATAATTGTTGCTAAAGCACTTTAGGGAGGAAGATAATAATAAAAACTTATCTTATCTGGAAATTATAAAAACTACAAATCTCGGGACGCGTTTGATTGTCACTTCCTTGCATTTTTTTACAAAGTAAATGTTATCCTTAATTAATGATTGATTGATTATATACTGTTTAACGTCCCTCTCCAGAATATTTCATTGATATGGAGACGTCACCTTTGCCGGTGAAGGGCTGCAAATTTAGGCCTATGCTCGGCACTTACGGCCTTTGAGCAGGGAGGGATCTTTATCGTGCCACACCTGCTGTGACACGGGGCCTCGGTTTATACGGTCTCATCCGAAGGACCGCCCCATTTAGTCGCCTTTTACGACAAGCAAGGGGTACTGAGGACCTATTCTAACCCGGATCCCCACGGGGCTATCCTTAATTAATACTTACAAGCAAAAAAAAAGTAGAAGATTTGTTGCGTATTAATGAAAAATATTAAAATTGTAATTCAGAAAATTCAGAGTAAAAATGTGAGAAAGCAAAACAACTCACTAGTATTGTCATGTAGTCTGTGCTTAATGATGTGTGCAGAATTTAACAAAATGAACACACCCGGTCAAACGTCTTGCAATAAGTTAATTTTAGCTGTACAGTGTAACACGTCATTTGATGGGATAAAAGAGTTCGTCCCCCTGTTTGCAAAAAACAATTTACATGTAGTTCCCTGTGTTTGTCCATGTGGTGGCTGTGTAACTTATCTACAGGGCCTAAAGCTTTTTGACGTCAAAAAATATTACGTCATAATTACGTCATAATCAAAACCTCAATCTCATGAAATTAAAACTTACGGTGAGTATTATTTTCCGTTTATATGTTTATTTGTGGCATCTCTGTAATTCTTGCATTAATGGTCCATAATATGGACAGCTGTGCTGACAATTTAAAAAAAAAAACGCACTCTCATTTGATTCTCATTCATGTAACGTTATGATTTAGCAAATAACTATCTCCTTCTTTGGCATTTGCGACCGCTTATCATGAAATTAAGAGCGCTATAAATTAAAGTAGATTTGATCATGTGACATCTTCATTCCATCGAAACATATGAGATTTATTCCTTATGTTTACAGTTTTTTATAATTAATGCATGGGTCGGATACCTTAAAGTGTTTTTTTCTTCTGGATATTAGGTACATGAATTATCTATTATAAATACTCTTTATTCAAGGTACATGTAATAGATGAAGGCATCGCAAAGTCGCAAAACAAATTTGCTGTAGCACATATAATTAAAGTAAAATTATTTAGTGCATTATGGAATGGTACATTGGTCTTTTATTCCTGATTGTGATACTGGCTGTTACATTCTTTTACTTTGGCCGGGATCAACTATATGTCAGCCACAAGAACTTAGATGGAAAAACAGTCCTTGTAACTGGTGCAGCCAAAGGCAAGTTTTTTTAATCAATATATCAAAACAAACAAACGAACGAACAAACAAACAAAAAGCACAAAAAAAATCAAACAAAAAAAATTAAACAAACAAAAAACATCATACTGGGAGTATATCTCCTGACTTTCTATTTGATATGTTCTTTTTAACGAATTACTTAAAGAATTTTTTTTAAAGTTTTGTGTGAGTTATTGGTGTGTAAATCACATAGACTTGTCACGTACGCATATTTCAGGAAGCGCGAATAATATGCCTACGTGCAAGTCTCTGTGATTTACACACCAATAATTCACACCTAACTTAAAAACATTCCTTATAATTACATTTTACATGTTTGAAAGCACCAAAAGTATACTCAATATTTGAATTTCTCGCTGTCCTATATCGTTGAATTTTTACTAACATAGCTTTAGCTTTGTTGTGACGTCAAGTTAGCACGAGTTTCTCCATGCATATTTATACGCATGAGTATACACGGGAATGATATTCAAATCAATTTCCCAGTTTGCTTAGTAGAAAAACATAGGCTAACATATAGCGTTGCAATACTGGACATTAAAGCATTGAAATTATTAAAAAGAATTGACAATTTGAAGTATTATTTTGCAGGAAAAGGATTCGAAATAGTGCTTGATTTAGCTAAGAGAAATTGTCGTATAATTATGACGTGTGCAGACAAGAAAGATGGCGAATCTGCCAGGCAGCGAATTGTACAGCGGACCGGAAACACGAATGTTGTGTACAGGGAACTTGACCTCAGTCTGATGTCATCAGTGCGCGCTTTCGCTACGTCATTTAAAATTACAGAGAAAAAGCTGGATATTCTAATCAACAACCAAGAATTGTGCAGTGAGTGACTATATCTTTAATTTTGAGACTCAACAAACAAAAACATGATGCATATACACTAATAACCCTTTTTACAGGTTTTGAATAGAATTACATTATTATTAAATCCCTAAAATATAAGGGATTGTAGATTTTCATTGGTGCTGAGATATGCGACTGCATGTGCCATTTTATACAAAATTTTACACTTTTAATGTTTAAACATTATCACAAAATCTTCTTTTTATAATTTATTCTTACTTTATTAGATAATAGATTTGAAACTCATTTTACAGCCAGGGAAAAAACAATGACAAAAGAAGGCCTCGATTTAATCTTTGCCATAAATTATTTTGGACCGTATTTGCTGACAACTCTATTACTAGGTATGTTTGAACTAAAAATACTGAAAAGGGGCACAACTCAAATTTCTAAAATCAATATTCAGTTTCCGACGCTTTAATAGTGGTGGTTCTCGACACATAAATATCAGCCATTAACAAGAATTTCAATTAAATTCTAGATTTATTGAAGAAGTCACACGGTCGCGTTGCAAATGTCGGCTCTGTTCTTCCTGCATCCACAGAATTGGACTGTGAAAATCTAAGAGCTGAGAAGGGTTTCCATAGTCAGCGGTTCTATCAATCTAAGCTGGCGTTATTATTATTTACCAAAGAGCTGGCAAGACGCACAGAGGATTCAGGTTTGAACAGACAAAGTATTCTAAGATGCGGAATATTGTTTGGAAAGAAAGCTAACTAAAAGCACACTTCTGAAGCATTTATATCTAAATTTATAAGCATGCAATGGTAGTTTCATTTTTTTTTACGGATAGGCGTCACTGTAACATTTGTACACTCGGGACTAGTGCAAGCAGAACTTTACAGAGACGTATCATGGGTGTATCTTTTTCTGCAGTCCATCATAACAGGGCGATATGTAAAGGTACCGATAATTTTACCAAATTGAGTATTGTCTTAATGAGATAGAAGTTATTTCATAAGGTAAACGTATTATCTACCCTTTTTAGACGACGATAGAGGGCGCCACAACTATTTTGTTCTGCGCATTGGATGACTCGGTGCAGACAGGAGGCTATTACATGAATTGTCGTCTGACTGACCAAACTGTGTGGGTCCCCAAGTGTGCTTATGACGAGGGTTTGGCCAGGAAACTCTGGGAGATCAGCGAAAGACTCACAGCAAGTAGTGACGTCATTGGTCAGCTCAGAGAGAGGCTATCAAAGGGGACTTAGTCCAAAGTCGTTTTACTATAACAGTAATTAACTTATAAATATCTCTATATCAACAACACAAAGTGTTAAAATTTGACATTTTTAATTTACGATTATATTTACATATTACTCATAACATGTTTCATAGTATGTTAAAAAAATAAAAAAAATAAAAAAAACATACACGTGAAATTTCTAAGTCATTAACTTGGCAAGAAATTAATTTAAAGAATAATTTTGTATGTGGGACAAAACCAACAGGAAAAATTGGTTTTATGGAATATTATAAAAGATTGTACATGGATTTTACATGCATAAAAGTTTACAATACCAATGTAATTAAATTAACAGACATACAAATGTAACATACATGTATTATAATTAAGCTATGAAAATGCGAAAACGTGTGTCTCTTTTTAAAGTACAATCTACTAATTTTCAAGCCAACAAGAACTCGCATGGACAGAGAAATTTTGAAGCATTTTGTTGAGATGTTTGATTTTTAAAGGTACTATATAATATAAATAAATAATTTAATAAATAAATACAATTTCTGTGCATCAATACGTTGGGATAATCCCCTGTCTTCAAGCAATGTCGACTGTTGCTACGCTGGCGGGCTGGTTTTTATTAAACAGAGGGTAAAATATACTAAACACTTTTTTCTTTCAATAAATCAGATGAAACAAATAAAAACTAAAGTATAATATTAATAAAATAGATATATGTGTATATTCATTTGATGGATAGACTTTTAAAATCATTTTCAGATCAGCAGTAAAATATAAGTAAACATACTTCTAAAATCTATAGTTTTCTTTTAAATTGATATGATAAACATCTAAACGTCAAAGAATATACTTTACGTAAAATTAAAATAAGCATAAAAATACATGTATATAATCTTAACAACGATCTTTTCAAGAGTAAGATGGAAGAAAAAAGAGCACCTTACTGATAGTATACAGGTAGCACAACAATTGTAAATCAAAGAAATGATTTATATACAACCACCTGTATACCTGTAATAAAAATATTATTATAAAATGCATTAACTAGATACGACAACAAGATTTACATAAATTGATGCGTCAAGTTTACACGCGTCATGACTTGTATTAAACTTTTGGACGCGCTAAGATTACATGCGTCGATAGACGCCCACTTGGGCCTTGCAGTTTGGACAAGTATGAATGACGTCTTTACATCCGTCAACACAAAAAGGAATCAGACAGCATGGCCAGCAACTGTAAATAAGAACGCAAAAAAGTGTACGCCATTGTTTCATAGTAAGTCACAAACTAAATATATTTATTTACACACACAATAATTGCTAGTCACGCTCTGTCTCTACAAATGGGACCTAGAGTTTGTTCAACAACATCTGTCACTGCGATTTAATCTAATTAAATTTCCTACTGGGGGGGGGGGGGGGGGGCTGATCACATTTCAATAAATCACAATATAAAAAATATTTTACCCAAGCACGCAGAGGATTCCCGCAATGAGCCACGTCATCATTCCAACCTCAAACGTGGTGGCCGTAACGATGTCAGCGCGACAGGAAGCACACGTGACTCTGACAGGACACTCGCGCATCACCTGAACACCACATGCCATCACCGCTACCGGCTGCGCCACAACTGTCTGGGCTACAGGACCAAACAAATGCCAGAATATTTTTTCGGATGAAAATGTTTGTGAGGAAATTTTTGAAATAATTCTTTATTCATTGAGGAACAATAATCAACAGTGTTCATTTTTAAAATTTTATTGAAAATAGAAGATAACTAATATTTTCAACACATTAAACGTCATTTACAGGTCAATATTTATACATGTACTGTAATTATATCACTGAAAAATTCAATCTTCGTTTATTTTTTTCTTCTAATTTTACCGATACCTTAGATAAAAGATACACACTCAAGACTGTCATGAAAAAATATTTTATTGAAACCTATTCAATTAAACCGTGAGTGAATATGATACTAGAAAACATTTCGAAGTGTATTTCTGCAAATATCTAATATCCAAGTGCAAGTGAAATATCCACTTGAAACAGCGGTTACCATAGTAAACTTACCCGGGGGTGGTCCGTATCCCATCTGTTGAGGTGGTGGCCCGGGTGGGGGGTACCCTTGTTGGGGTGGGTAACCCGGCTGAGGAGGCGGGTATTGAGGCTGTGACATTATAATGTCCTTACGGTATTCTAAATATGAAAAAAAAAACGACAGATACAAACACTGGTAAATAACTGAAGAAAACAAACTGCTAACTAAATTAAGATAAATGTTTACTGATATTCAAATTTTAAATCAAGTCCAGTTGCTTCTCTGCAGCATTTGTCATAGAATTAAAAATTTACGTTTTTAAAATATAAATGTTTATACGAAGATAGTGACAATTCAACGATCTACATCAGACCCCTTCTTGGACCCCCACAGCCAACAAATGGTCAGCAGATCATATACAGTTCATACAAAACACCGTCTACTTGCCTTAGGCAAGTCCCGATCATGTCCATATTATATCGACCCCACCGTAACAACCGTTAGCTGTTACAAAAATAAGTTTTTATTTTTTATCCTCTATAACATTTATCATATGACACATTTCTCTTCACAAAATTCTATACGGGATGATGTATGCTATTGCAAGATGGTTTCTTACACTCTGTAAGGTCAGACAAGGGTGTGGCGAGAGAAACAATGAACACAAATTGATAATGAAACGTCTCTTTCCATTACAAAGACTTGCACGATATGTTTATTTTTAAATGACAAAAAATGAAATATGCGTAAGGAAATGACAGTGACAGGAAAAAAGGTTGCTACTCTTACCTAGACTGGAGCTTGTCTTTGTTGTTACTGATGATAAACCATCGAAGCATCGATTATGAGTTACGGACTCCCATTCCTGTAATGAAATTATTAATCCATTATCTTATAAATCGTCACATCGCTTCCGCTAAAAAAGAGAATACATTTATTTGTCAGGTGTTGACAAATCGTGCTCGCTTGAATTACCAAAGAAAATTAAGAAAATACCTTACTGCAATGAAAAAAAAGAGATAATTCGCTCCAATTAGTTTCAGTGTGACCGTCTACCAAAAAAAAAAAAAAAAACCTGAAATTTTGAGCAAGTATGAATTTTAAAAAATTGTAGTTGATGTTACTTGCAGTATTAGTCATAGTTTACGTTAAAATAATTTTATGTACGTCAAAACTCATCTTGTGTGTTTAGACTGAAAACTATGGAATGAATGTTTTTTTTTGCTTTTTCTAAATAAATATCAATCATTTGATTGTGATACGGACCATAAGTTTTCTTCTTTCCCTGCTGACTTGAAAGACCCCAACATTGCCGACATTGTCATTGCAACTACGTGGAAAATCAGCGCTTACATGGAGTTTTTGTTGCTTACAGAAGGCTGTAATACTTTGTATTGTAATTACCTCCCAGCATCCAACTTCCTGTCGCTCTCTTGCAATAATGTCACGTAAGCTCTAAATATCCAAATCAAGTAAGCTCCAAATCACTATCGGGGTATATTGTTTACGCTTAAATTGTGACATTCGCATAATTCGAACAATAAGTATGCAGAAAGTACATTGTATTGCCACTGTTTGCATTTAAAAAGTTATCAAATTGAGAATGTTTAATTTCCCAAAATTAACGTGTATCAAAAAAGAAAACGTTTTCAACGTTTAGACTTCCTTTTGGTACATGACACCAATAACGAAGTACAAAGGACTATATTGGAGTAGACTAGTACTTAGAACTATTGTGAATCAATCACTTTTTTACCTTTCCGATGTCACATTTCTTGTAGAATATTTGAACGTTGAATAAAAAAAAAAACTTCTTAATCTATAATTATTTTTTTGGCTGTAAAATTGGGAAACCGACTGTCAATTTATGAACAGTCTGTACTGCATTTGAATATCTTCATTACATGTTATTCTAGCTAACACAAATACATGTTTTACAATTTTTTGCACACTGGAAAATAGGCCTTAAGTTAATGGGTGCAATTTTAAGTAAATTGTTTGAAAAGAAAAATCATTACGCATGGTATACACGTTGACTACCTATACACCATATTTGATGTCATTATCAAATTATAATGTCATTTAAAATTTAATAAAAATCACTTAAACAGTTGCATTGACAAATCTATCACGTATAGTAAAAAATCCATACACATTATAGAGTGTGGCATGTCAAACGTTGCAAAATTCTATCTTTTCCATTTGAATTGTACAATTTTTTTTAGTTGTATTCTATGTTTTCCAATTGTATTGTTAAAAATTATTTACATCATATAATTTTGCATTTGCATTCTATATTTTCCATTTGCATTGTAAAATTTCTTATTTGTATCGTAAAATTTCTTACTTGTATTCGATAATTTTTTTATTTGTATTGTATCCCAGGGCTGTTTATTTATTCATAGAATACAGATGGAAAGTTATAGAATACAAATAATATTATACAATACAAATGAAAATTTATTCAATACAAATAGAAAAGATCGAATATTGCAACGTTTGACATGCCATTATAGAGTTATTAAAGGTTATCCATCTTTGTCCAGGAAATAATTTCTCAGCAGAGCAGAAAATCTATATACCCAACACTTTAAACTATTTCCATATGATATACCCATTCCTGCAATTACCTTGTTTCATTCTCGGTAATTAACTACATGTATAGATTAAAAAAAAAGAAAAAAAAATATTCATGAAACATATGGAGATAACGAACAGTATTCAAGATCAAAAGTCCCTAAAACAATACAAAACACGAGCAGAGCAAACACGAGCCTCCAAAACACCAGAGATGGGAGTTCTCAACTTAATACGATTTCATTATTTAGTTGGAAATCATTATTTAGTTGGAAATTTTGGCTTTACCTCCACATAGAAAATTCAGAATTTACATCAATATGATTCATGGCAGTATTGCTGATCATAAAGTAGGTTTAGATAGATAGTTTCTAATTCGTATTGAGATCCTAAAACGTTTTGATGCACTTGAGGCTTGTAATAGTATTTTAAAAAATTCTAAGGTATGTTTTACTGTAATGAATGCTGATATTGGATTAGAGGTATATCTTTACATCAAAATTTTAACATAATTTTATTAGATACGAAAAGTTATGTCACTTGGATAACCGCATATACTATGACTTGACTTGTCCTTAATAATTTGGACGAAATTTTGTGTTCAATCTTTAAAAAAATATATTTTGTTTGTCTTATACAATGTATACTTAAAAGTGCCAAAATTATAAGACCCCATTAGAACTAAGCCCTTGACTTTCATCGACTATCCTTGGTATATAAACATGCTTTAGGCATTACATATATTTTTTTTAAATTCATTGCAATTTATTATAATTATTTGAATTCTAATTTTGAGTGTCAAACTTTATATGTGTTTCTTAATGTTATCTTGTCAAAAAGTATTGTAACAACGTATGTCATTTACAAAAATAAACATTTCTCTAAATAATTTTATATTCCGGAATCAAATTTGACTATTGTCACTCCGTGCCAAATCGAGGGATGATAATTATTTTTTGTCCGGAGATGATGCTCAGAATAAACGATTGTATTTCTTTAAAACAAAGGGGGATGCTGTTCCAGCAAAAAAACTAGGAGATAGTGAAAAGCATCAAAGCTTAAAAAAGTTCATTGTATCAAAAATAAACTGATAGAAAAGCAAACACGAATCTCTAAAATATCAGAGGTGGGATCAGGTACCACGGAGGAGTAAGTATCCCCTGTTATATCATCAGTGTGCTCTTTTTCATGTTTCGTAGACTATTCGGTGTGTGAATTATGGTTCAACAATTGGTATGATAAAAGTCAGTCATTGTTTGGCTTGATAATGATGTCCTAGAATGATAGATTGTTACATGTAACAGTTAACCTGAAAAAAATCATTTAAGGAATAAATATCGAATTTACCATGAAAATATATATTGATAGTTTATTAGCAAGGGAAAAAAACAGACCTTAAACTGAGATTTTTATATTTCAGAAAAAAAATATAATTGTAACTTTTGAAGATTATTATAGATAAAATTAATAATAATTTTTGTAATCAATGAAATATGGAGGTAACGAACATATTCAAGCTGAAAGGTCCAACAAACAATACAAAATTGTAGCAGAACAAACACAAGCAAACACCGACCTCCAAAACATCAGAGATGGAATCAGGTGCTATGGGGGAGTGAGCATGCCCTGCTGACCCGTCACACCCTCGTCTGCTCCTTGTCATGATCGAGAAATAGCGGGAGAATCCGTGGATAATTCAGTGTGTATATAATGGCCTTACAATTAGTATGAAATATGTCAGTCAGAATTTGATTTAATATATTAGCTGACAAGGTCATTGTTTCGACCATAGAACTTAAGAAATGATCAATTTTAACAAGACTGTCGATATTCGTGTTTAAGCAACATGTTTGTCAATAATTTACCTTGTATTAGAAATCAAGACAAACATTTTTTATTAGCCGGGCTTTGCTGAATTTTTTTATTTTTAATATCTCAGTCTTTGGAAATGTTAATCAATATTTTTTTTGTTTGAGATTTAAATTGAAAGACGAAGAAGATATTTATCTTATTAGGGTTAATCGCGATAGAGCAATTTGTGCACATATGCTACTGAACGATACCATTTACTATAAATTGAGCATATTTTTTTCTCCGTTACATTTGCCCCCAAAACTGCTTTAAACAAAGAAATTCGAACAAATGTTAGTTTTATTATGTTTATTACATATCCCATAACAAGCCATTGATATATATATATATATATATATATATATATATATATATATATATATATATATATATATATATATATATATATATATATATATATATATATATATATATATCACCCAACAGAGATTTTCCATTGAATTTCGAAAGAAAATGTTTGTAGGGAATATCTATAATATTCACAGACAGTAAAGAAATACCATAGTAAAGTGTCAATCAAATCTCTACTTTAGGAGATGAAATACGCAAATTGTAATATTCACATTGACTATAGTGTGATAACTGACAAAAAGGAAATTATTTGTTACCAGTGGATTAGTTTCAATATCTCAAATTTCTTTCCTCAAGGAAGATGTGTGGAAAACTACATTAAAAAAATACGAGACAGGAATTTCACATTAACACTAATTTTCTTCTTATTTTCAATCAGCCCTGAAACAAAACGTGGCTAGAATGAAAAACAATCGAAACAAATTTCGACAAATTTAGAGAACTTTGGTATTCAAGCAAAAATAAAATTGATTGACTGTTGATATCACAACGAAAGGATTCTCAATATTGAAACAAAGAAAGGGAAATTAATTACATGTTATTTAAGAATTAAGGTTCATAAACCCTCTGCTCACTTATGTAAGATGTTGCTTGAACCTTAATGATTTTCCAAAAGAAAAAAAATTTCATAAGTAAAAAACAAACAATTATAGCATAGCTTGTGGGGTGAAATTGGACAAAAAAAGACACCTCAACTTGGCAAACTTATGAAAAAAATAATAGAAATTTATGTCATTAAGAGTTATCTCTCTTATCAGAGTATCAATGACCCTTAAGGAATAAAAAAAGGAAGATGATAGGTCATAACCGTACTATATTTCTCAGCCACTCTTTGATAAATTCTACTTTTTAAAAGTACCTTTTTTGTTATTTATTTCATACATGGATATTTTACTAGATATAGACGTAAAAAGTACTAGCTATTGTAACAACAAATCTTTATCATGATAAACGCAGTGATCTCGAATTTTCAATCAAATTTCCCTAAATTATGTAGCATACCCACATCAGGTTTATGTCTCCTAGTTGATTCGATAAGCACGAGCAAGTTCTAGGAGCGAACGATTTCTTAAACTACTTACTACTACTTAGGCCTCTTCATGCCAAG